GAGGCAGGAGAATTGCCTGAACCCGGGAGGCGGAGGTTGCGGTGAGCCGAGATTGTGCCATTGCACTCCAGCCTGGGTAACAAGAGCGAAACTCCATCAAAAAAAAAAAAAAAAAAAAGAGAAAAGGATGTGGTTTGTAGCCGGGGTGGTGGCTCACGCCTGTAATCCCAGTACTTTGGGAGGCTGAGGTAGGAGGATCTCTTGAGCCCAGGAGTTCAAGACCAGCCTGGGCAACATAGACCTCGTCTCTACAAAAAAATTTAAAAATTAGGTGAGCATAATGGCATGTGCCTGTGGTCCCAGTTACTTGGGAGGCTGAGGCAGGAGGATCACTTGAGCCCAGGAGGTCAAAGCTAAAGTTCATACCTCTGCCTCCAGCCTGGGTGACAGAGTGAGATCCTCTCTTTTAAAAAAGGCAGAGGGAGGGGATTGAAGAAACCACTGACTTTTTCCCCAGATAAACAGAGGCGTGGTGAGAAGGACTTGTCCAGCATTACTCGGAATTAGTGGCTGCCTGGAGACTGGGGGACAGTCCCCTAACTCCGGATCAGTGCTCTGTCTACTTATAGGCTGTCATTTGGACTCTGGGCTGCTTTCGGTGGGAGAGTGATATAGAACACCCTTTCTTTGACTCTTGGCCAGCTACCCCTGCCCCTGCCTCTGAGCCCCCATGCTTGGCTCCTGCACTCCCTGGCATCTTCGACTCTCTCGGGCTCCCGCAACACCTCTGCTCTAGCCCCATCTGCGTCTCTCGCTTCGACTGGGACGTCTGGGCATGTGAGTGTCAGTGTGGTTGCCACTCCAAGTGCGTCTCACACCCAAGCTGCTGCCACCCAAGTCCTGTCCCCAGGGAGGGAGAAAGTTGGAGGGAAGGACAGACAGACACGGAAGTAGACTGGAGTAGGCGAGTGACAGAACCTGGAAGTGAGGCAAGGACGAAGGAGGGAGGGAGGGAGGGAGGGGAGAGGCAGATAGAGAACGTGGAGAAAGGGGGAGAGACGGTTGGAGCGGAGAGAAAGACTTATAAACGGGCGATAGATTGAGAGGAGGACCCAGATGGGGAAAAATCGAGACAGACATGGATGACGATATGTTCTGTGGGCTGTGGGGAAACAGGCATTCTTGTACATTGCTGGTGGGAGTGCAAACTGCAAAGGGAACTTGGCAATACCTCACAAACCACATATGCAATTTGACCCAGCAGTACCACTTCTAGGAATCTGTCTTGAAGATATATTTCCAACAACATGAATATATACGTATATGCTCAAGGTTATTCATTGCAGCATTTCTGGAATTACGAATCTAAGCACTCATTCACGGGAGGCTGAATAAACTATGGTTTGCCTATAAAATGGAGTACCAAGCAGCTCTATCAAAGAATGAGGAAGACAATGTAAAACGGATATGGAGTGCTTACCAGGATATAGTGTTTAGTAAGCAAATAACAAGCAAGAGAACGTCTGTGGTAAGCTCCTGTCCATGTAAGAAAGAAAAGATACGCCGGGCACGGTGGCTCAAGCCTGTAATCCTAGCACTCTGGGAGGCCAAGGCGGGCCGATCACCTGAGGTTGGGAGATAGAGACCAGCCTGACTAACATGGCAAAACCCCGTCTCTGCTAAAAATACAAAGTTAGCTGTGCATGGTGGCATGTGGCTGTAATTCCAGCTAGTTGGGTTGCGAGGCAGGAGGATGGCTTGAACCTCGGAGGCAGAGGTTGCAGTGAGCTGGGATCATGCCACTACACTCTAGCCTGGGTGACAGGGTGAGAGACATCATC